TGTAGGCTTTTAGAGCTTAGGGCTGGTTTTACAATATGATACCTTCTCTATCTCTCTCTGAAATTTCATACATACATCACATGCCAACTGATGGCAAACAAACGATTCTTCTAACTTTTAAGACAAAATGCATTAAAAATATGTACAAAGAAACAAAAATACTATTTCTGATACTATCGTTGTGTAGTAATAACTGTTGGGCTGATGCAAAGTGACAAAGTCTTCACATGGTCTGGTTGCTTGAAGAGCTTCTTCCCATGCTGATGGTGGTGTTTGGTGGAGGAAAGAGCTCTAAGATTTGCATGTCTTTGATATTAAAGATAATGGTTTTTTCGTCATTTTGAAAAGTTTTTGGGTGTTTTTGAAAGCTGCCTGTTTCTTTTGGGTTTTTTACTAAATTTCCTAAGGCTTTTTATCACAAATGGTCCTTAACGTTTACGAAATTATCACAAATGGTCCTTGAGGTTTTTTTGGGACACTAATAGTCCTTAACATTTGGACTTTTTATCACAAATAGTCCCTGCCGTCAAAAATTTTGTTAAGTGTTTGATGTGGAAGATAAGTGGAGCCCACATGTCCAATCACATCGTGATATGTGGATTAAATAAATAAAGAAATATTTTTTTTAATGAAAATCCATTAAAAAACCATTTAGCCTCTCTCTCTCTCTCTCTCTCTCTGCTTTCCCTCTCCCTCTGTTTTTTTTGTAGCCTCTACAGCCCGACTGAAGATTCTTTGTTGCCTCTACAAACCTAATAAAACCTAAATAATCATTTGTTGTTTCAATTCTTTTGCACTAAATGGCTTAATCATTTGGATCAAACAAACTTTTGATATAATTTTTGAGAAAGCTAATTAACTTTCGGACTATATGTTTAAGGGAGAGGGAGAGCAGAGGGGTAGAGAGAACAGAGGGCGAGGGCAGAGGGAAAGAGAGAGAGAGGCTAGTGGGAGGAGAGAGAGGACATCGGGAGAGAGAGATTGAGTATAGAGAGGGGATGGGAAGTTGCACAAAAACATGGATTTTTATTATAAAAAAATATTTCTTTATTTATTTAATCCACATATCTCGATGTGATTGGACATATGGCTCCACTTATCTTCCACATCATACACTTAACAGAATTTCTGACGGCAGGGACCATTCGTGATAATTTCGTAAACGTCCAGGATCATTTGTGATAAAATATAAATTTAGTATCTCAAAATTTTGGTGTTTTGACGTTTATGTTTGGGTTTTTTGGGTCCTTTCAAGAAGCGAAAAAAAGAACTTTTGTGTTGGTCACTCCATCAAATTCCACCACGTCAGGTCAGCACTCAAGCCACCACCCACAACACGCTAACATTAGATTTTCTTTTTCCTAAACAATCTAAAACTGTGCGGTAGTAAAAAATAAATAAAAACCAAAACCATAAACAAACACAAACATCCCAATCCAGCAATCATCATCTCTCGTCCCCTCTGCTGCTCTTCTTCTTCCTTCTTTCATTCTCGACACAAAACCGGAACCAAAACGCCAAAGAAATATAAAAGAGAGAAGTGAGAGTGGGTGGTGGATGGCAAAAACCAACAAGTTCACGTCCATAAACTTCAACCACATCTACGAGAAAAACCTCTCCACCAATTCCAAAGCCAACGCCAATAGCAAAGGCCCTTCTCCTTCTTCTTCCTCTCCTTCTTTCTCATACTCTGCCATTTCTTCACCCCACAACAATGCCCATGGCCGCATGCTTGTCCTGACCCGACCCACCCCCAAACCCATCTCCATCCCACCGCCCCTTTCGTCTCAACCTCAACCGCAACCGCAACCGCAGCAACCCCATCTCCAATCCCCATCTCAACAAACCCGGCAGCTACCCGATCAGATCCGGGCTGATCCGCGTTCCGATGCAATCTCGCTTCGTCCTTTAGGCCGAACCGGTTCGAGCCCGCCCATATTGTCTCCGGTTCCGAGGCACAAGGAAGCTCCGGGCTTGATATTGTCGCCGAAACCGGACAAGTTCGTGCCGCCTCATCTCAGGCCGGGTTTTGTAGCGAAGGAAGAGCGCCCCAGACCGGTTCAGAAGCATTTTGGAGCTCCGGTTCAGTATGGGGAAGATGACCGGCCCAAGTCGGGTGGTGGGAATGATAGGATAACTCGGCCGAGATCGAGCGGGAAACGACCGACTTCCAGTGGATGGTAATGGCTTTCTTCCCAATTTCTCTCATTTCTAGCTCTTCTATATTTAGTGCACTAATTAAATTATAGTTTTTTTATTTTTTATTTTTGTATTTTTGTGGGTTGTGTTTTGATGTAAATTACAGTGTTTCTTCATGATTTTATTTTTTGTTTTTGTGTTTTCTAATGGATGGTAAGGTTGAATAGTTTGCGGAGGAGGATTTTGTGCTCATTTCTGTTGACATGATTTTATTACTAATTATAGAAATCCTTAGGGGGTTTTAACTTTTAAGAAAAAATGGGGCTACATGTGTTCTTAGTCATCACTGGTTTTGTGTAATGATTATGAGATTATGAGGATCCATAAATATGCTACTACAGTTTTACTTAAAATAGTAATAATAAGCTGTAAATTTGATATGTTCTGTGTGATTCAATTTAATGGCAGAGTAAAAGCTTGTGCGAAATTATTGTCCTTCTGGGTTTACTTTATGCTTGCTTTCATGTTTGGGTATAATAGTACTAGAGAGAAATAGAGGCTCGGTTTGCTGAACGTAATTCATAGGAAGGAAATTTTAAGGGCAAATTACATACTTCCGTCAACTTTGGCTCGCGATTCGTTTTGGTCCATGAACTTCATAGCAATCATTTTGAATCTCAAACTTTCAATGTGTGTTTAGTAAGGACAGCTTGTAACTTCTGTTAAGATGTCTCTGTTAAAATGGTCTTCTGCATTGCATGTGACCACCAAATCAAGGGAATTTTTTTTCCGCCCCTCTTCCATCCCAACCCTTGAAATCCTTTTCAAATGCTCTGCAATTGCAGGAAGGACAGAATGCCCTTGATAATACTTGTCATGTGCCACACTTGACCACTTTTAACGAAAATATGCAATATGTTGACGATGAAAATGACTGGTTTTGCTAAACCTGGAGAAAGATAGATGCAATTGTAACTAGCTTTAGCCAAGTGTTATCCCTTTTCAAAATTTGAAGACATTTGTTTTAATTTTAATTTAAAAAAAAATTAGGATAGGGGTTGTTTACTTTCAAAATAGGAAGTTGGTTGTTTGATGCTTTGATTTGGTTGTAATTGCATTTTAGGTTAAAGATCATTATCTTTTCTTGGTGTTAGCTAAGGAATGATGACTGCGATTAGGAGAGCACCAAACAAATTATAAGTTAACTCATTGCAATGCACTTGTCCCCTGCCCCATCTTTTTATTCATCAGATACAGACAAATTAAAGACAACCATCATTTTCTGTAAAGTGCGTGGATCTCATGGTTTTTGTTTGAAGTAATTCTGTTAATGTCGCTTATTCTGATGTAGATTGGTTTTCCTCTTTAGTGTTGGACTGAAGATATAGATATGATGAACGATTGCATTTTTTGTTTTTTTTTTCTTTTCAGATTTTGCTATGAGATTGAATACCTTCCTGAGGACGAAGATGGAACTGCCATGATACCACAGTGAGATTTCTATGCTGACCAGCTGCTATCTTATGAACCTCTGGAACTTGTTCTGACTTTCTGAAGAATCATTAGAATTTCAACTTGTTGAAATACAGGATTCAACCGTGTTGCATTGCACCTTCTGACCCAGATGACAGCAATTTTTAAATTTTTTGTTTGAAATTTTGTAGTGTTGTACAAAAAAGGAAAGGCTTGAGCACCCAAGCCCCTTTTTTTTCTGCTTGGTGGTTGTCTCTGTTTATACCATTAAAGGAGAGACCAAGGTGTGTATGGGATGTATACTCTACATGTGTGTTATTTACTTATCAACTGCATTTGAAGGTGAGCATAATGTTGGTACTTTAAACAACTACTCCTGTGAAATTCATTCCTTTGGTACCATTAGGTCATGAATAATTATTGTAGGGTGTTTCTCGAGCCCCAACCCTAGACTCTAAACGTTTCGTACTGTCAAAAGATATGTTTTGGTATTTCCGTCAACTGATAGAGAAGATAAAATACCGGCCAAAAGTCACTTTTGGTCCCTGTAGTTTGGCACTTCAACCACTATTGACCCTGTAGTTTCAATTTCGTCACTTTTGACCCTGTAGTTTCATATTTGGAGCAATTTGAGGACAATATAAAATTTCTGTTAATTTCTTTAACGGAGCAATCATGTGCCCCTCACGTGAAGGGGCAATATTGTCAGACCAAAACCCCACACTAATATGCGTCGAGTTCAAGTTTGACTGAAACTCTCAGCCTTGAGTTTAGCGTGTTCGAAGTTGTCATTTTCTGGTTTGTCCATTTTTTTCCCTTTCTCGTGCATCTATTTTTTGTTGAGAAAACCGTGGATCTTTTTATTTTCCTATTCAATTGTGAATTTATGTTTTGTTACCGAGAAAACGTAATCTCTCTCTCTCAGATCGAAAAGTATCAATCTTCATGGCAATTTGGGCAACCAAACAGTCAATTATCTGATTCTGCAATTTCTAATTGTTGATAATCTGGTAAATTGATTGCTTTTACAGTGAATCTACTGCTACGCGATGCTCCCCACAGTTCCATTCCTCTCCAATTTTCTCTTCATCGTCATCCTTGTGGTCTCTCTGTCTCTCCCTTGCAGGTAATTAAAGCAAAGGCTTCAACTTTCTCTTTTGATTACTAAAAGTAAAAACCCCCTGTTGGAAGCTGAAATAACACCAGAAAATGAAAGAAAGTTTATGATTTGATATCGAGATAATATCCCACATCGGATAAATATCGATAGCATATTTCAAAATTGAAAAATTTCTTGCTTTTCCATACATTTATTGTTACATTTTCCTCACAACCAAACAGAATATGAGTCTACTTCTATCTTCTTGTATTTAATGTTTCAAACAAAATATAGGTCTGATGGGTCTGCAGAGAAGGAAAAAAGTTTAGCAATAATAAAGCCAGATGGATTGTATGATAACTGCACTGATGAAAGGGCTCGTTTGGTCTGACAATATTGCCCCTCCACGTGAGGGGCACATGATTGCTCTGTTAAAGAAATTAACAGAAATTTTATATTGTCCTTGAATTGCTCCAAATATAAAACTACAGGGTCAAAAGTGACGCAATTGAAATTACAGGGTCAAAAGTGGTTGAAGTGCCAAACTACAAGGACCAAAAGTGACTTTTGGCCTAAAATACCTGAATTTGTTGCTGTCTGTCCTGTTTGCCTTTGAAAATGAAAAAAATGAAAAATAAAAAATCAATTTCATCTCTGTAATAGTTTTAGATCCTTTTTATGTACTTTTAGTAGAGGCTTCACATTTGAATTTGCTTCGGATGAATCCGAGTTTCCATCTCTAATAGTCTTTAATTTAGAATACCATTCTAGATATGGCATTTCTATTTAGTTTTAAGCCTCGTGAAAAGAAAGTGGATTGCGTCAACGGGACCAGTCCAATGGAAAAAGAAGATTTTGACTTGCAGTGTGTAGAAAATCCCTCAACCCCTTCCTAACTTTGACAAAAAAAAAATAAAACAACGTGGATTGCCTTGGAGGTTATATGATCTCTAGCAAGAGGGTGACAACTCAAGGTACCAACTTGCTGAACAAGGGAAACAACAACTGCAACATCCATCTCTATAAGACGATTAGTGATACCTTTATCCCAAGCCAACTGAAGCCCAAAATACAAACCCCAAAGCTTAGCCTCAAGGATCTGCCCCTTGCCTAAATTCATAGCAAAACCACAGATCCAATCACCATCAGCCCCACGAATCACTCCGCTAGCACCAATACAACCTGAGGCTGCTCTCCTAGAACCATCCACATTTAATTTACACATACCTAGATCAGGAGGCTTCTAGTTGAGTAAAAGCTGAGTTTTAGGACTCACCTTAACACCCACCAGAGAAGCCTTGACCCATTCCCTCACGGCCATAGAAATAGCCTTCACAGGATCAATAGTAAACTCATCACAAGGGAGAAAAATATGATTATTCCTCTATTTCCACAGGTACCAACAAGTGAAAACAAACACAGCCGACCAAGGCAAACCACCACCCCATTTTGCTTTAGAAAGGAGATTAACTTTAAGCCAAGGTATGAAATCCTACTTAAAAAAGGAGTGAGCTAGACCATAAATAGAAAGAGCATGCCAAACACTTCGGGCCCTTTCACAATCACGGAAAATATGTAAAACAGATTCCACAAGACAATCAGATAACCCACAAGAAGAATCAATAGCCAGCTGACGTCTCACTCTATACTCATTTGACAATATTTTACTTTGAGACGCAAGCCAAAAAAAGATTTGCAACTTGGGATGAACTTTCAACTTCCAAAGAAAAGCCCAACTAGACTCAAGCCAAGAAGAACCAGCAAAGAACAACTTATAAGCAGTCTTAACAGAGAAAACACCATTTGAAGAAGCATGCCAAATTTGAGTATCAAATCAAGAACCATGAACACCCACAGGAATACTCACAATTTTTTGAACTAAATCCTCTGAAAGGGCTTCTCTTAACTTGGATATATCCCATCAATTATGAAGAAAAAAGCTCGAGACCACGCAATCAGCATCACAGACGTTCAAAACACCATCCTGATGCAGCAAGGGTATGTCACTACACTAGCTATCCTTCCAAAATTTGGCTTGATCACTTGAACCAATCCTCCACCTCATACCTTTCAAAAGCATCTCAACACCATGAACAATACCTTTCCAAGTGTGTGAACTAGTCTTCTTGGTAGAGTTAGGAGAGTCCAAAATAGAGGCACCTTTTAAATACTTAGCCTAAAAAATCTTAGCCCATAAACCATTGTCTTTGTTCTAAACCCTCCACCCAATTTTAGATAACAACGCTTGGCTCATTCCAGCAATTTTTTTGAACCCCATCCCCCCTTTACATTTAGGCCTGCACACCAAAACCCATTAGCAAAGATGGACTTTATTTTTCTCCTCCCTGCCTCCCCAAAAAAAAATTACGATTTAAACGATCTAGATGCTCGCAGACACTAACAGGAAGTTTAACTGTTTGCATCGAATAGATGGGAATGGAAGAGGTCACAGAGTGAACAAGGGTAGCCCTATCAGCAATAGATAAAAGCTTGCTTTTCCAAGCAGCCAACCGACTGGTCACTCGATAAACCAAACCATTATAAGTAGCAAAAGTTGGTCGTGAATGTTGTTTGTGCCTAATAAATCACGGTCATAAACTGGCCGAAGGGACTTCCTCTCGGCCCTAGCACCTACTCTTGAACTGAAACGTGGCGGTTCGTTAGACATTTTGCCTTCCTAAAAAACAAAAGAAAAGCTGCGAAGGCGGAATCCTCTCGGCCTCACAATGGCCGAGGCCGAAGGGCGTAAGAGACACGGCCGAAGATATCAAGGTTAAATCGCCACGTGGCAACAAGGTCCCACACTTCATTTAATGAAGTAACGCCTCTGACTGTTGCAGCGAACCCATTAGCCGCGAAAAGGCATTTAATGCACGAGGGAAGAAGGGAAGTGACTAAAGTCAGGGTTTGGTGAAGGAAATCAGGGTGGTTAGGCGCAAACATTCTTACAGCTTGAGAGATTAGGTCACCATCTATCAGAGCATTAAATGCGTCTCCACGGCCAGGGGTGCAGAACCCACGATCAGGGCGGCGGCCAAGATTTACCGGGATTTATGGGGTCACACTACCATGCTTCACGATCCCAAATGTCGATTGGACTACCCACTTGCTCTGATCAGGCTCCACCATGCGGATTTTCAGCCTCGATTACTCCTCCAGAGCTTTTCCTATAAATACTAAGCTCGAGCTACATTCAAAGGGTTCAAACACCAAACCAAAAGCCTCCCACGGAGCAAATTATATTTTCCTGTAATGCACTTTCAATAGGCTCCAAGATTCGATCAATCCATGAAAATTCTTGGCCATGATGACTTCTGTCATCATAAACAAAGTCAGGAATCTATCTAAGGCATTGCTCCGCTCAAATATTTTTGGTGATGCATTCCCTATTGAGTGCCCAATCAACCTGATAAGTCCATAAAATTACATATTTATGTACTCTTTATACTTAGTTTTTGTAGGATAATTTGGTTTAAAAAGGACTTATTACTTTATTTTCTCAATTTTCAGTTTCCAGAGCAAGTAATTTGTTTTCAACGGAAATACGACTTTTTGGTGGAGTTGTAGCACAAGACCAATTGGAGATGAAAGCTAAGATCTAGAAGATGATTGTGGAATTTTTCTAGAATTTTCGGAGCAGCCAATGAGAGCAGTCTTTGAAGTTAAGTCAGCATAAGATGCAATCCCGTCAAAACTGTGCTGCTGTGGAAGAATGACCATTTGAAGACTTTCCTGATTTTTCCTCAAGGAGTGCGATATATGGATGGAAAGATAAGACAAAACTATACAATTTAAACATTTTTCCCGAATTTTCTTGGAGGAGGAACAACCCCAAACGTGCAAGCAAAGTAACTGACATGTTATCCCAGTCCAAGTAGGAAGAGGAGTCAAGTACTTACCCATTTTGGATTTATGTTTTAATTAGGTTTTTCTTTATTGTTGGGCTGCTGTAAAAGCCCAGCTATTGATTGCCGTTTGATGTTGGATTCTTAATCACTGTGCTTAATAACTTGGTTGATTATCTTGATGCTTGATCACCATCTAGACTTTTAATTGAGTAATCATATGAAAATTAGAGAAAATACCATACTTAATTTGAGGCTTGCTTCATGTGATTAGGATTTGTAATTCGTCTAGGGTAAATACCATACTCCTAGGGTTTAAATGCTTGTTCAAGGTTTTCACTGATCTTAATGAGTTTCTATGTGTTGATATTTGACCTAAATACCATAGGTAAATTGCATGTAGGAATATACGAGTTAGCCTAAATACCATAGGTAATTCATGAAAAAGGAAAACTAAGCGGCGACATCAAATGGTTAGTAAATAGGCAGGTGAATAAGAGGCTAGATCGGATTACTAGTGGGGAATTCATTGTCCTAGTGCTTTTATCAATTTGAATTTCTCATCCTTGTGTTTCGTGACTTTTTACCTATTTTGTCTTTTAATTTCGTTGCTAATTAAATCATTCTTTCAAAAACCCCTTTTGTGTTTACGTGAGTATGCTATGTGTTTAATTTCTTGTTTATATAATTAGAGTAGTTAAATTATTTTGTGAAGGAAATTAGGTTAGACTAATTGGAAGTTGAACTCAATCCTCGTGGGAATGACCTCGTATTTGCCATACTATATTACGATTGACCTTGTGCACTTGCGAGTATAATTTGTGTTTAGACTAATCTTTATAATCTCCACTTTTCAGGTTGTCTAAAATTCACAAGCAATGCGCCGGAGCACCGCCCAAAACCCACCACCAACGCCACCGCCAAACGGCCTTGTAGCTCAGGCCGTGAACCTGATGACCGAGATCAGTTCCTCTCTTGGCCACAATCGTTTGATTAGAAGTTGAACTCAAACAGGCGCACCACTTAAACCATTTTATCCAAACACATCACCCCCTCGACGCACGGTAGACCGTGCTGGCACGCCCGCGCACAACCGCATCGCATCCAAAAGAAGGACGTCACGTGTTGACGCATATCCCCTCGGCCCGGAGCACCAGGCCGTGAGATTTGCGCAGCCAACACTTTTGGCACGCCCAGTGGGACACTTTGTCAAAAACTCATGGTGGAAACTAGGGCACAGGCGAAGCTCAAGAATAAAACAGTCGAAATGACTTCCGAGACCCCCGATTCCACCTCACCGATAAATATCGCCGAGACCGAACAAGCGGTCGGAATCTCGGCCAGCATTCCAATGATGACGGATCGCACGGCCGAGTCCATACAAGAGCAAGCAGTGGTGGAGGATCTGATGTCTAAGCAGGCCTACAAGATAGAGACATCCTTTATGGCCGCAATGGACAGATTTTCCTCAGAGCTACGGACGCTCTTTCAGGAGAGGATGCCAGTAACCTCGTCTGTGACACCTCCCAGAACCGGACAAAGAAGCCAAGAGGGCGAGAGGATTGAGCCTTACGGCGAAAGCAGCAGCCTCGGCGCCTCTGGCTGCACCCAAGCATCAGGATACAGTCAGCATTCTCAGCCGCCGACGAATAGCTGGGGGCAGTCCCAGCCAACATGGGCGAATCCCGGACTAACCTACCCAGCAGAAATAGCGTACGTCCCACTCCACGCTTTGGCCGTATCCTTGGGGCAAAGTAGCCCCACGCATTCCGCGATCCAGCAACTCGGCCCAATTCATACTTTAGCCGTCCAGACGCAGCCCGCCCCAAGCAACGCGATCGTGGCG